ATATATATATATGTACATATGTATAGACATGTATATATGTATATGCCATTGTTTTATTTATGGAGCTAGTGACAAAAATAATTTCCCTCTGGGATTATTAAAGTATTTCTGATTCTGATTCTGATTCTGAAGGTGCAACAGATTTATATCAAACACATTTGTGGCGTTAAAGGGCCAGTGCACCAAAAACGACTCTATCATGTGAGCAGCTTCTTGGTCAGTTTCTTCGGTTAGATGATAGAGAACTCGTCACCCACATCACTGAGGATGGTTCCGGCGTATCTGAGCTGCCGGAGCAGCGGGTTCTCGGTGGCCGGGAGCGTGTTGTAGTCGCACTGGGCTTTCGACTTCTCGTACTCTTTCTTGTATTGGACCTGAACAAAGAAACAGGTTGGCGTGAGTAGAAACAGACGAGGGTCAAACTAGTGGAACCACAGCTGGAGATGGGAGACTTTGTCACGTCTGGGGGAATGTCTGGTGTGTCGTCATGTCTTGATTACCTATTGTGTACACCTGGGGTTCCCCTCCCTCATGTGTTTAAATAGTCCTCGTCTCCCATGTCCTGTGCCAGTGCGTTTTCGTCTTTCTGCTTTCGTCTCCCTTCGTCACGTAAGGTTTGATTTTTGTCACAGCCATGCCATAGTCTTGTTTTCCTTATTGCCATAGCCATGTTTTTGCCACAGCCATGCCACAGTCTTGTTAACTTTATTGCTTTGATACTTTGGTCATAGTTTTTTCACAGCCTTGTTTTGAACTTTGTCAGCATCCACTCCTTTTGAGTGTGTTTTTGTTGAAATAAAACCTGTTTTCACCAATCTCCGCGACTGAGTCCTCCCTAAAGATCCACCTTCATGACACCCTTACCTCACTGGCAGCGATGCGAGCCTTCTTATTGGTGCCGTAAACGGGCGTGTCCGTTTGCATGAAGTAGATTTGGTCTTTGGTGTCCTCGTACTGTTGAGTGTACTTCCTCTGTGGGACAAGGGGAAAAGGCCAGTCAGAGGCAGAATATCGGGCAGAAGGACTGTATGTAGGACTAGGTATGAGTTCGGCCTCTCACATCGCTGATGTTGTCCATCGCCATGCGGCCGATGGCCACGTCGAAGTAGGGCGTCTCGCACCACTGACCCTTCACGTTTTTGTTGTAGTCCTCCTTGTATTTGAGCTGCGGGACACAAAACGTACAAGATGTGAGCAGAAAACGTCGGGATTTACTGTCATTTGAGTAAATGGCCACTGTCGGCCTGTCCCTTCCAGCAAAGAATTCCCAGACAAGGATGGATATCAGACTCCGCCCACATCCAAGTCGGCCATTTTGATTAGGTCACCAATAGGAAGATCCCAGGCAAGAAAAATCCTAATTGCTTCATGGCAATATAGACATTAATTTAAAAATAGTGAAATTCATCTTGCAAACACTGAATTAAACTCTATCCATAATATTATGTTAAAATAGTGGATGTTAAATAGGTTTGTACAATAAGTCCAAACAAGTTTAACCAAGAAAGATTTATTTCTCACAATTATGAAGGCTGGAGGGTTAGGTTAGGGTTAGGGTTAGGGTTAGGATTAGGGGTTGGGTCAGGGTCAGGAAATCGTTTGTCTTCCATTTTTGTATAGACAGTAAAGTTTCATTCAGGCTTTAAAGGGTTAAGCCAGTGAAGTACTAAATAACCACTGTGGTTTATGTTTAACTGATACTTGAATCAGTTGAGTATCACAGTTCTCTGATCGGTTTGGCTAATTCATGCGTTAAAGCGAGAGTCGAAAGGTTTGAATCTTTTCTGTCTGGCTGGATTATGTGGGTTAGGGTTAGGGTTAGGGTTAGGGCTTCACTTACATCGCTGCGCTGACTGGCCACCTTCCTGGCCAGTTCCATCTCGGGGGGATCGGCCAGGGACGTGTACTTGGCTTTGCGCTCGTCGTGACCCTTTTTATATTTGATCTGCAAAAGGTAAAAGCAGCAGAGGGGACAGAATCCCATTAAACGCAAGCAAAAACACATTAAGAAATACTAATAATACATCTATCGGATGCATTATCGTACCTTTATTGAGAGGTCAGACATGTGAACATTACTAATCTAACTGACCTGATCTTGTATCTTTGATGTTTTAGTGTGTAATTTGTCGCTAAAATGTTGTAGTGTGTGACATGATACATGAAACATACTTGTCCCTATCAAATAAACGAATAAATAAAAAATAGATAAACAAATTAGGAGCAAATAGACTCCAAATAGAAACAAACAGCATGCTTCAGTTGATGTTTTTTCCTTAAATAATGTCACATGTGAAGCAACCAAATCAGATTTTTCACTTCAGTTTTAGGGGTGAATAACATTAAAAAATGGTTCCTATCTTTATATTTATTATGACAAAGTGCACAGTGCAAAGTTGATTCGAACACCACTGCGTTCTGTGTCCTGCATGCTTGCAGAAATGGAATAAATTTAGTTTTTAGCTCTGGAAGTCCAATTTCAAGCAGACCAGCATGATTATTTCTGTTTCATTATCTTACAAAAATTATCTTTTAGGATTAGGGTTAGGAAATGCAGCTGTAAATTCATATTCCCTTATTAGTTTTATATGCAGATGGAAATTTTTTGGGAAAATCTTTTTTCTTTTTAAGACAGTAAAGTTCTAAATAGCCACTGTGGTTATATTTAACCGATGCTTGAATCAGTTGAGTATCACGGTTCTCTGATCGGTTTGCGTTTTGATTTTCGACCTAACTGAATCAACCTCTGATCTGTGGAAATATCTGCCGGGACTCTGAGTGTCTGTATCTGATAAAACAGGAGATATGGGTTGGACTTACATCGCTGAGGACCTCCTGGGCCTTGGCCACCCGGCGGAGCT